AAAAAAATAAGAGAACACAAAAAAAACCCTATACCCCGAGCTCTTTCGAAAGGTTGACCTTTCGAAAGCGCTCGGGTTATAGGGTTTTCATTTATTTCTATCAAGACTTCTTGAACCCGCGTGTTTTTCTAACATCAGGAATAAAAAGACTGAGGTATTCTGTTGGTCACATAAATAAATATAAAGTACATATACACATTTTATTTGAAGAATATTTGTGTTTTATGATAGGATTACAGGAAATCGAGCTTTTACGTGCTTTAATATTACTAGTACTGGATTCAAATCGTTCTGAAAGTTGCCTAGTAGCAAACAACAATACACACATATGCAATTTTAAATTGCTTTTGAAGTTCACACTAACCCCACCCTTTCACAGTATAATGAAAGGCTCCTAATATTTGATAACGAAAAAGTTATATACAGGCCACATAAGACATAAATTAAAATAAATAAAAAGAATATATGATAAACAAAATCCATCAACAACTTTACCGTAGAATATTTTGAAGTTAATGTTCAGTAAGAGCCAAATTTTCTTTGCAAAAATCGACTTCTGTAAGATAATTAAATATTTGTTGTGTACTAATGACACACGCATTTGTCTTCTCTTTTTATTCGTGAATAAAAAAATCCTATTTTATCAGGGTTAACAAACACAATAGCATGATAATCCATTATGCATGAATTTATTTTCCTCTGTATCTATTGGTAACACAATATGAATTTTGAAATGTAAGCTTCTCTAAGACGATATGGTTAGTGTTTTGTCATTATTTGTTTTTTAATTCAAAAGTTTAGCGAAAAGCTACATTATTTTGAAATGATTGGCTAGAGGGAAGGCAACTAATCAACAGCACCTACCGTTAACTCTTGAGATTTTCTCAGTGGACCGAAAACTGTGGTTTGACTTCCACTCTTATAGCGCGTCCATGTTTCCAAACTGCCGAGTGCGTTTTTTTTTTTTTTTTGCGACAAGGGGTCGCAAACATATAATCCTAGGATTCACAGACCCGGTAAGTTAACGATTAGACCATACTGTGCTCGTTATTTATTTATATTATAAAATAATTAACAAGGTAAGAAAGGGTAACAGGAATTTTCTTTCTCTTTAATTTCAGGTCGATATTATTTTCAAATAATAATTTCTTGCTTTCAAATCTTATTTATTCTGATATTAGAATAATTATATAACAATAAGTTCGTAGTAAACACATGCAACTTATTTCACAGTACGTATGTTAAGAATAGTAAATTAATTAGTTGTCGAAGTGTGTT